CCCCCTAGCGGCAGAAGCTCGTACTACATCCGGTTCGCCCTCTATTGACACAGTCTTGAAACTTTCCGATCGCACCTCGTATCATTCAAAAGCATAAAGTAAGTTACCTAATAATCAGCATAATCATTTTGGACATAACAGATGCACTTGTAATGTATTAAGTTCAGTGAAGGCAAACTCTTCTATACCAATACAGTACATTCACTGATAAGTTGAACACAACTATCACTTTCCAGCTCCCAGCTAAAACTATGTGACTCACTGCCAAGCACTACAAGGTTCTCCTGATATAAGTCAAAACTCCATAAAACCAATGAAATCAATTAATCCAAATTATAGAAGATCCTGCCGGGACCTGAGAAGTGAAAGTTGCATTCAACTTATCAGTGAATGCACTGTATTAAGTGGTCAACCAGCAACTACTTTTTGAGTTTCCTACTATCACAGTTTCCTACAAATAAAACAATGCACACATGGATGAGTTTTACACTTAAATTAATCAAATAGACAGAATAAATCTAACATACTGGTATTCTTACAAATAGAGACGGTCTATGATAGAAAACAATTCAAATTCTGATTCCTGTTGGTTTACTGTTTTTTCCACAGAAATATAAGAGTCACAAGAAAAATATTGAAGATTTCTGTCTTCTGGGTTGTTGCGTTGTGTAGTCTGGTTGATGTTTGCCAACGTTTCTGAGGTCATACTGAAATGATTTACAGTTACAGAGTTCATAAGGATAACTGTTCCAATCTCTCTACATTCTTTGTTTCCTGAAATATTCACCTCATTATGACAGTCATCTCATGAAATTTCCACATATGGACCTTTCAAAGTCAATAAATAGTCAAACACCCAGGTACTACTAAGTAGTCCAGTAAGTTCACCCTTTATCTTAGTAGATATATGAACACATACTGGGTATGGGCAACAGTACTGCATAACAGAGCAAGTACCAGTATGTGAATCTTGATTATACATTGTGAAAAAAAGTATTACATTATTTTTATGGAAAAATGAACTAAATTCTGGCAAGTTGGCACACTTCAATCACAAATCACAATTACCTGCCAATGGTAAATTCTGTATTAGTGAGAGGTGAGTATCTCCAGTTCCAGGAGGTGTATCCACTATGAGGTAGTCCACTGCATCCCATGCCACCTGTCGCAAGAGTTTCTCTAATGCACTCATGACCATAAGGCCTCTCCATATAACTGGTGACTTCTCATCAACAAGGAAACCCAATGACATACTGAAAAAAAAA